GACGGCGGCGCCGACGTCGACGACGACGAAACCGACGACGACGCCGACGCCAACGCCGACGACGACGACGTCGCCAACAAAGACGACGACGACGAGGGAAGAGGGAGGACGACGACGGCGACAACGACGACAACGACGAGGGAGGAGGGAGGACGGCGACGACGCGAACGACGAAGACGAAGGAAGGACGGCGACGCCGACGACAACGACGAGGGGGGAGGGAAGAAGACGACGACGACGACGGCGACGAAACAGGAGGGACGACGACGAGACACCGACGACGGACGACGACGACGACGAGGGAGGGGGAGGAAGGACGACCACGGCGACACCGACGACGGAAACGACCACGACGCCAAAGAGGACGACGACGACGAACACGAGGAACGACAGAGGACGACGTAGGCGACGACGACGCGGGAGGAGGGAGGACGGCGACGGCGACGACGACGACGCAAGAACGCGCGCGCACGCTCTTGTTGAAAATCCGTGTTGCGAAACCTTGCGTTGTTGTATTTTTTTTGGACACACGATGTTGAAATCCTTCCGACACCGATGGGTTTTGAAGGATTTCGGCATACTCGCGCGACGACGCGCGCGTCTGCACTTCGTTTCATGTTTTGCAGAGGATTTTCGCGACGGCACGCGCGCAAGGGCGCTCGACAGATTTCGACATGCGCGCGCGCGAAGTCCGTTCGGTAGCATGTTGTGAAAATATTGAGAAACCTATGGTTTTCTTAAGATTTCGCAAGAGCTCGCGCGTAAGCTTTTTTAGCACATCAGTGTTGCGAAACCCTGTGCTTTTGTATGTGTTTGGGAAACTCGTTTGCAAAATCCTTCCGAGACCGAAGGTTTTTGAAGGATTTCGGCATGCGCGCGCGACGACGCGCGCATGTGCACTTCGTCGAATTTTTGTTGCGAGGGATTCGTGAAAAAGTCTTCTGTTAGAACAAACAATTGCCCCGCGTATGGTTTTTTACAAGGGAACCTCAGGGGTAGCGATACGGGCCCCCCTGGGATAGTGTAAATGTATATTTAGGATGGACATGTGGTCAACATCAGGTTTGATTTGCATATCCGAAAGGGGGGGGGGATAACGCCGGGGGGGTCGTATTCTCTTTCTAGAAAGGAGAATCTATGTGGTGCAATATGTGTAGTGGATATGGTGCAGTTTGTGTGGTGCAGTCTAGGTGGTGCAATCTAGGTGGGGTAAGTTATGTGGTGCAATGCATGTGGCGCAGTCTGGTTGCTACATGGGGCAATCTACGTGGTGCAATCTATATGGTACAGACTGTGTGGTGCAATCTAGATCGGGTGGCGAAGAGGCGGCGACGGTGCGACGACGGCGACAACAAGGCGGCGGACCCGGTAATGGAGCCTGGACGACGGACGGCGACGAAGTGGCCACGCGGCGGCGACGGCGACAACAAGACCGCGGACCCGGCAATGGGAGCCCAGACGACGGGCGAAGACGAGGCGTCGACGGAGACAACAACATGGCGGACCCGGCGCTGGAGCCGAGCCGACGGGCGGCGACGAGGCCGCGACGAGGCGGCGACGGTGACAAGAAGGCGGCCGATCCGGCAACGTAGCCCAGACGACGGGCGGCACGAGGCGGCGACGGGGCGGCGGCGGCGGCAACAAGGCGGCGGACCCAACAATCGAGCCCAGTTCCTTGGAACAGAAGTAAGAGTCCCTAAGTGCAAGCACCGCTTGGAGAATGACAGACGTCAGGAGCTGCCACCAATGACCTGCAACAATAACGTATATCAATCACAGACAGCAAGGCTACACACCAAATACATACTGCACTCGAATACGCCAATGAAGGTCATCAGCGCCATACACCAGACGCATCTTCTATCAAGGTCAGACATCCATACAAGTAAACAAGGTGCACCAAGAACATGCAATAAGAACATCCACTAATGACATGAGCCGGCGAACTTAACAAATACCAGACATCACTGACGAACAACGATGATGCCAGACTTCAGTAGCCGCTACGTCCGAACCAGACATCATGGCTAAAAGCCGAAAGAGTAAACCCAGATGAGACACAAGGAACAATGATACGCATCAGACGCACATAACAGACCCAAAACCACATGCATCAACATAGATGCAAGGAGCAGATACGAGCAGCCATCGAGGACAGGCATTCCTTTAAACAAACAGAGAACGAACATCTTAAACTACTGAAGCGCCTTGGTGGGGATCGTTCGAACCTGAACGAATTCTTCTTCGAGCCCCACGCGGCGTCGCCTGGGCCCCACTGGCCGATTTACCCCCCCTAGATGGGGATATAGGTCGTTCTCTTCGGGATTCGAGGGGTGTATCCCCAACTAAGGTGGTAATTCGGTGGGAGGAATGGGGATCGATTAAACGATACTGACTCTCACCTCCCCTCCTCACCCTCGTCCTCCTCCCATGGAGGCCCGGCGGCTCGCCTGAGGGCGGCAGGCCCGAGGGGGGCGGCAGCTCGGAGGGGCAGCCCCGCTGGGCCGTCTTGCAGCAGTACAATTTCTTCTCGCCGGACCAGCCGCGCACCCACTGCAGCGGGTCGAGGTCGTTGTATCCTGCGTTGCAGTCGATGGGGCAGGGCGACGTGGACGTAGTCGGGCACCCCTTGTTCTCCATGAGGCAGCACTGAACCTTCTTCGCCTGGTCCCACGACTCCGGGGCACCCTCGCCACAATTGATCTTCTTCTCGGTGGTCGTGGGCGGCGGCGGGGGCGGCGGCGGGGGCGGAGGCGGCGGCGGGGGCGGCGGCGGGGGGGGCGGCGGGGGAGGCGCCTGCGTCGTCGTCTTCTTGGTCGTGGTCGTGTCGGGTGGCGCCGTGGTCGTTGGAATAAACGGCGTGGTCGTCATCGTGGTCGTCGTGGTCGTGGTCGTGGTGCTCCCCGGGGCGAGCGCGAACAGGAGCAGCGGCAGCAGCAAGAGGGACAGCAGCCCTGGGATGAGGAGGCACAGGCAGCAGTTGGGGCCGCGGCCGGGAATGCGGAGTACCCCGAACTCGCCCGCGCCCGCTCCAACGTACCTGTAGGTCGTCTCCTGCGCGTAGTCGCCACCAGGACCCACGTAGCTCAAGATCGTGCCTCCCCCTGTGCCGCATCCGCTGCCCATGCCGCCACCCATGCCGCTGCCGCAGCCCGACGCCTCGGCGCACCCGGCGCCACAGGCAGGACCGCAACCCAGGGCGGAGGTGGTCCCAGCGCAGCAGGCGGTGCCACAATCGGCACCGCCGCCGTACATGCCCGCGCCGTGCATGCCGCCGGCATAACCCGCACCAGCATAACCCGCACCAGCACCGTACCCGGCGCCGTAGCCGCTGCCCCAGGCTCCGCCTGAGCGGACGTACGCCATAGCGGGCTCGTCGGAAGCAGGCCGAGGGCAAGCAGAAGAGTGCAGAGGAGGAAGCGCACTTCGAGTTAGAGAGGCTTGAGACAGAATGGCTGCTGAGGAGGGGGGTGAGACGGACGTGGTGGCTCACGGAGCGCCACTATGCGCATAGCCCAGAGCGAATGAAAGCCATGATGCTCAGCCTAGATTTAGGTCGGGCATGTCCTCTCACAGGCAGATTTTGGGCGAAAAATGAAACATTGTCCAACAATTCTCAACAATAGAAAACAAAGCATCGAAACATCGTCCCCAGACTATGTTTTGACTATGCTTGAATTTTCCTCCAGTAGAGGGACACGCCCGACTTAAGCCTAGAGCGCGGCACTGCAGCCCAAGCCACACTCCAAGTCGGTCGCTTCCCTGGGCACTGGGCATGTCCTTCAGGCCTCCCCCGCAGATGGATGTTGCCACAAGCGCAGGGCCTGTAGCTCGGGCCTAGCATTAGGTCGGGCATGTCCCCCTACAGGCGGCTTTTGGACGACAAATTACTAATAGCCAAAACGATTCAAAAAACTCAAACAACAAATAGATACATCGTCCCCAGACTATGTGTTGACTACTTTTGAATGCTCCTCCTGTAGAGGGATGTGCCCGCCTTAAGCCTAGCAATAGGTGAAGTACGTTCTCAGAGAGTGACAGGGCTGGTTTCGATGTGTTTTCGTTTTGTTGTTTGTTTTGCTCTACCTGTCTTCCTGGACCTCCCTGCTAAAACGAAACACGAAACACAGCCGAAGTCCAGCAAACCAACGTTCAGGTCCAGCCCTGGAGAGTGGCACCCACTGTGAGGGTCAAGCAATACGAAACGCTCCATTTGCCACAGAAATCCCGGACACGGCGCTCACGCCACGGAGCGTGCCGCCCCTGTGCGCTGTGCTCACATCTGGTGCCGTGTGTGAAGGCGCCAGGAAGACAACAGACTGACAGAGCCCTCGGCGCAGGATCCAACTTCCCGGAGACCCGAAGGCGCCGAAAAAGATCCCGAGCGGAAACAAGACTCACTCCCATCCTTCTGCTGCCATTCTGGAGCCGGATCGATCCTCGAAGGTCCCCGGGCGAAGGCGCGGAAACATCGCGGACCCCAGACACAATCCAATCCTTCTGCTACTCTTCTGGAGCCGGATCAATCCTCGAAGGTCCCTGCGCCCTCAAACCAGGCGAAAACGTGCGGAGAGAAACGCTAGCGACACGCGGATATTTCAGGGTTGCGCAATTCTGAAGCCGAGAACGTCTGGTCCCCATCCCTGTACGGGGCTCGATCGATTCTTAGACTGCGAGGTGCACGGAGGGCATCCAGAGTTCACGGGCCCGTGATGGCCCGACAAGGCCACCAAGACGATGCCGACGGCCGCGGGGGGGGGGGGGGGCGCCAGGACAGCGCGGGTTGCCTCCGGGAAGGCTGAGGGAGCCCCCCAAGAAGCCACCTGCAGCCCAATTCACCATTTCCGTTCAACGTGGTCTGCTTTCCAGCCGAGCGTTCGATGGAGAGCTCTCGAGGGCCCCACAAAGGCTCAACGAACCCCAAAGACGGACCAAGGCAGCCCCAATGAGGCCCCGAAACTACCCAAAGAGTCCTCAAGGGGCACCCGGTATCGCACGCAGCCTGAGGATAATCCAAGACTGCCCCCACGGCGGCACTCGAGCACGGTGTCGGCGCATGCCCCGCTTCGCCATGAGTCGAACCGCATGGCGCCCACGAGAAAGGATCATAGGCCCTCGCAGTATCGGATCAGGGTCGTGGGTTGCGGGCCGCAGGAACGATGCTCGCAGGCGGATCGCCGAAGGGTCGCATGTGGGGTGTTCTGAAGCATCCTGAAGCCAATGCAAAGCAGCCCGCCGCGGTGACTGATTCCCTCTCCGTCGTTCAAGCCAGTGGGAGTGGGTCGCTGGTGGGCCGTCGGCGGGTGTGCTTAGAGTGGGGGGGCGGCTGAAGCGACGGGCGGCCTGCGGGTAGGTCGCCTGGCGGGCCCTGGTGGGTCGCGAGTGGCTCGTATTTAGGTCACGTGGCGGAACTTCGCGTGGTGGAGAGTGGCTCGCAATCAAGTCGATGGCGGGGTGGTCCGTATAAATGCACACGCAAACGGGTCACTAAGGGAGGGACATCAAGAACAAGGGCAACACACTCTGCGGCTCATACCTGAACTCCTCCCCACATACTTCAGCTCTAATTGAACTCCTCTCTGGGGTCGCTACAACTCTAATGATTTTCGGTTCGGGGTGCTATAGTTAGAAGGGTCCGGTTAAGGACCGGATACAACTCTCAACGGATCCCAGAAACATCGCCTGCAACTGCACAACATCCTGATACGGGAGGCTACGCCTCTACTCGGGTCTTGCTATGGTGGGCTGCCAGTCTATTGGGGCCCAGCTCGGAATGGCTACAGGACTTCTCGGATCCCACTAGGCGTGGCGACAATTCAACGATGCTCCTACTAGGAGTTGATACAACTCTCACGGATTCCAATACGAAATGCCTACAGCTCTGGCAGGAGTGTTTCTCTTCTGTTCCTGTGTTTCCTGGCACGTTGCGACATTTTGTTGCGGTGGCCTGAAGACAGAACTGGCCTTCCACCTGAGATGGGGAGGACTACGACACATTGGTGAAGATGGCATCACATAAACACGGCTTCGGCGGCGGCGTCGTCATCATCCTCCTCCCCCTCGGCGTCATCTGCCTCCTCCCTCCTCCAAATAAGGAGCCCTCAATATCCACACGGGAATCATAACAATTCCAGGTGGAATACGAAGGATGTCCCCTGGGCCCTGAGGAATCCTCTCAGGATGCACCCAGATTTCCGGAGGAAGTCCTACACAATCGTAGATGCCCGATCTGGCGATTCCCGTGTGTGCGCGGGGCGAGACAAGCAGTGACCCAGAAAACCCACCCAGCACGAACCGACCCCTCTTCAAATGTCCTGGGCCCAACAGGGGCTGGGGTTAGGTCGGGCGTGTCCTCCGACAGGCGGATTCTGGATGAAAAATCAGAAATAGTACCCAGACTATTGTTTGACAATTTCTGAGCATTCCTCCTATAGGGGGACACGCCCAAGTCAGGCTGGGATGAGCGGAGTGGCAGTGATGGGGACGGTACCTTGCGGGCCCCCCCACCATCGGGCGTCGAGAAATGTGTGGTGGAGGGGGGCGGTAAATGGAGGAGGAGGAGGAGGAGTAGGAGGAGGAGAAGGAGGGGGGGCGGAGGAGGAGTAGGTGCAGGAGGAGGAGGAGGAGGAGGAGGAGGAGGAGGAGGAGGCGGAGGAGGAGGAGGAGGAGGAGGATGAGAGGAGGAGGACGAGAAGGAGGAGGAGGAAGAGGAGAAGGAGGCGGAGGAGGAGGAGGAGCTCCTGATGGGCGCCAGGGGGCCCCTTCAGGGCACAGAACGTGCACCTTTCCGTCGTACCCACCCTCCCCATGTTCTGGTGATGTGTACTGGGTGGCGCCCCCCCCTCCCCGCCCCCCCCTCGCCACCCTCCACTGACGGGAACTGCCGTCACCCGAAACACACCATATGCAGGCAGACTTGGTTTTGCAATTCTGGCTAATTTGGAGGGCTTCGTGGCCCAATCATTAACCAGCTCCCCTTCGTAACCGGGGTCCTCTTGGTTGACCCAAGGGGTCCAGCTGACAAAAGGAGGCGCAATAGATTTGGGGCAATTGCATAGCAAATGCACTGCGCCGGAAAAGTGTATTGCATTGTATTTCAACCAATCTGCATTGTCCGCGAACATCCAGCAACACACTTGCGCCTCGGAATGCATTGCACGATCCACACCTTCTGCAAGTCACAAGAATGCAGCGCGGGAGAGGCCGCAAGAAGCCCTCGCAGGAAACCTAGCACTGAAACTCGCAGGCGGGAGATGCAAGTCGGGGGAGCCCAGTGCAGGGCTGCACCTGAACGTTGTTGTTCGTTGCGTTATCGTCTTGTTGTTCGTGTTGCTCTACCTGTCTTCCTGTACCTCCCTGCCAAAACGAAAAACAAAGCACAGCCGAAGTCCAGCAAAACAGCGTTTCGGTCCAGCCCTGGAGCCCAGGGCACCGCCCAGCGCAGCTCCCTTGACGGCCGCGGGAACCCGCTGCGCAGCGCGCGGATCGAAGAAACACCCGGGGCACCCTGGCAAAAAAAAACAGTCCATCTCCTGACGTGCGCCCCCACTGCTCGGGGATGGACAGAACCCCCTTTAGTAAAACGTGGTTTAGTGAAAACGACCAGAGGCCCAAACCTAGCGGGCGCAAGCCTGGAAAATAACGGCCACAGCGCCATCTCGAGAACCGAAAACGGACAATTCACTAATCGACGTGTCACTGTTGGGGGTTCTGTCCACCCCCGAACTGCACTGCACCAAAATAGAAAAGAAAGGGCCATACACATAAACTGTTGGCGCTCCGCGCGGATCTCTTGGATCTGAGCCGGAACCCCCTCCCTGGCGCGCGGAACGCGCCAGGAGCGGCGCCCCAGCGCGGACCCACGAGATCCGCGCGGAGCGCCGAAAGTTTATGTGCATATGGTTCGTTATCTTCGGACCATATCTACGGCAAGGCCCTCTCTTCGCTGGACTTGGGTCCACCAGGGTCCTTTCTGTGCACGGTTTCCCCCGGGCCCATAAGCGCCCCGAGGAGGAGGAGGAGGAAGAGGAGGAGGATGCGGTGGAGGAGGGGGAGGGGGAGGAGGACGAGGAGGACGAGGAGGACGAGGAGGACGAGGAGGACGACAAGGAGGATGGAGCAGGAAGAGGAGGAGGAGGAGGAGGAGAAGGAGGAGGAGGAGGAGAATGAGAATGATAATGTCAGTTCACTAAGTGAAGGCAAATGGAGCCTTTAAACCAAGGGGGGTGGATGCTTCCCTTCATGGGAGAGTCTCGCCTTCTCGGCCTTGGCTAAAGACTTGGGCCACAGACCTTGGCGGATCATCCTTAAAGAACCCTCGCCCGTCGGTGTGGCTCGAGATTCACACAACTTACGCAGCTTCACATTCTGAAGACTGGCGAAGGCGCCGCAACAGCCACAAAAGCAAAGACCCAACTTGGTACTAAGGTTCATACTGCGCAATTCGTGCTCCCAGACCCCGGCCACGTGTAGCCTGTGCCCCAACGGAATCGTATGAAAATCCCCACTCAGGCTGAGGGGTTCGAAACACTGGGTCGACGTCCAGACCTCGAGGCGCTCCTTCGAAGCGGACCCCGGGGTCCTGGCTGTAGCCGGCCACTGCCCCGCCCCCACCGCCCTTCGACGCCCGGCCCCACGGGGGTGAAGGGGAACTGGAACACACAAATAAATCCACACAAATAAAGATATCCCCCATATTTTCCCATATTTTCTGGGTTTCTGTCTTCCCCCCCACTTCCCATATTTTCCAATATTTTCTGGGAATCGCCGATGAATTGTGTCTGTGTGTTTCCTCCCCTCCTGAGGGGGGGCGACCCCGCAGGCCGGGGGCTGTGCTGTGTCCCGCCGGCCCCGCGGGGGGGCCCCGGGTCGGACGGACGCCGACTGCCGCGTCCGCGCGCCGGAGCGCGCGGGCGCGCGCCCTGCAGGCGACGGCGGGGGGGGCTGGAGCCCCACGCAGCCCTTCGTGGTATGCTTCGGGCCGTTGGTGGTGCTGTCTATGCGGGCCCCCCGGAGAGTCCAGGATAGAATCGATGAAACGGATCGGCGATCGAAACGACTCGGATCGGCGGAAATCGGAAGCCGAGGCGGGAGAAGTCGGATCGGCGGGAATCGGTAGGCTCCAGTATGTCTCCAGGCAAGAATCGGAGTCCAGATCGGCATCCGAAGTCGGTTCGAATCGGCATCAGCAGCCGTCGAAAGATCGGACCGAACCCGAGGAACCGAAACGGGCCCTGGGCCCCCCCGCGTGCATGCCCAGCGGTCCCCCTCCGCGCCCGGCCCTGGCACGCGGCCCCCCCGCCTCCGCGGCACGCGGGCGTGCCCGCGGGCCCCCCCCCCAGCACGCCCAGCGGCACGCGGGCACGCCCAGAGGCCGCCCTCTGCCGATGAAGGAGCGCGGGAAGACGTGCCCGCGCCCCCCCCGCGCGACGAGTCGGCGGCGCCCCCAGAGGGGGAGGGGAGGGTGAGGAGGCCTTCTCAGAAGGCTCGGGAGTCTGACCTGCAGAGAGGTGTTGGAGCCTCTCGCGAAGACACCGACAAACTCCTCAGAAGGCGCGCGAGGGCTTCCGAGAAGCCACGCCGCCTTCTGAGAAGGTCTTCTCCTTCTCACTTCACTCGCCCTCGCTCGGCGCCGAATGAGGGGCAACGATGGGGGGAGACTGGCATTCGCCGAGACGTCGCGGATATATCGGCGATGGGCCCCGACAGCGCAGCCACACGTTCCTGGGTTGGGGCTGTCGGGCCCCCATCGGCGATCAATAGGCGATTGGGGTTCGATGAACCCTCCCCTATGCCTTTCCCCCCCAGACCCCCGACGTCGTGATTTTTTCATTACGTCGACCCTTGGAGGTCTCGACCCATTCCCCTGGACCGGTTTTTCATTCTGAGTCGTTTTTGATGGTCTCGAGGGCCGGCAAGGGCCCCCAGAGGCCGAGAACAGCAAAAAACCTCACGTCATGATTTTCTCATTACCCGAAAGGGTCTGGGACGGTCGTTGCCCCTGACGAACGCCCGATCGAACTACTCCACGCGCACGGGCGGAAGCGGCAGCCCCAAGAGAGAGCCGCCCCCTCCTCCTCGCCATCGTCGTGACCCAGTAATGACGAACACAGACGGGTCTTACGCGAAACGGCGTAGCGACCTTAGGCCGCATTTTAGGCGGGCCGCTAGCGCGGCACGCTACACTTGAAGCGAGGGCACTTACTCGCGACGCGGTCAGCCCGTTTTTTTCGCACCGTCACTCAAAGGATAACATACACATGAATGCCCGGAGGTCCGCGCGGAATTCTTGGCTCGACGCTGGGCACCCCTTGCGCGCGGAGCGGATCAGGGGCGGCGCCAGAGGCGCCGCCAGGAGGGCCCTGAGCCGATCAGCGCGTACCTCCGACAACTTACGTGTATGCCAGTCTTTGCTCCCCGAATCCTCACCACTATTAGGAGGCAACTACTTGGAGATCTTCTTCGGAAGGACTACGGAGGACTAAGCCCAATTGGGGGGCTGCTACGCAAGATTAGGCCGCGGATTAAGCGGGATTAAATAGGATTGAGCGGGACTAAGCGGGATTTAGCCGGATTAAAACCGGAATTCGGACCAGGGCAAAGCCAGAATTAAACCTCCCAAGAATTGCACCCGAACCACTGTCATGCTCCGCCTCCTCCCCGTCTGCCTCCACCCCCGCCTGCACCCCTCCCGCGCCCGGCGCATCTCCTCCGAGGCGCCAGCGGCCGCTCCGCGCCGGGCGCACGCGGCCAGGGCCAGCAGGGCTCTGGTCGGCGCCTGCACCCAAAGATGTGAGGAAGGAGGAGGAGGAGGAGGAGGAGGAGGAGGAGGAGGAGGAGGAGGAGGAGGAGGAGGAGGAGGGAGGAGGAGGAGGAGGAGGAGGAGGAGGGAGGGACCACTGACCACCAACTTTTTGCGGCGGGTCACTGACAACGTGGTACCCACACCGCCTTCAAGCGGGCGCCCACGCGATCGAAACCGAACCGATTTTGTTGAGGCCGGCGATGGCCACTTTTGTTGATCCTTTTTCTTCATCCCATGACATCTGCTCTCCTCTCGACATGTACGGTACTGAAACGAGCAAGAGTGCGCATACCAACGAAGTGAAACCAACAGACAAACGTTCAATCGAATTTGCAGCTCGTACTCGTCGCATACACTTTGTCCTCAAAGACGTACGCCTTATATCAAAACATAAGATGGATGTCAAAACCACACCTTGGTGACAAGGATCGGCGTGGCACTTGTATCAACATGGTAGATGGTGGAACGAACACACACGCGCAACAAAAACACACCCAGGTCGTACGTTATTCTGGATGCAGCAGCGAACAAAGAATTCCCACAACGTCCTCTCCAACTACGGCTACCTCACACTTCACATGATTGCGCTTCGGCTCCGCCTTCGTATACCCCCCGAGTCGACCGATGTGGCACAGTCGCCGTCGACATAATTTATGATAGGTGTCCAAAAATATTACGCAACGTCGCTAACACGGCACGACTCGGGCAGTCCCAGCCTACCAGGCGGCCACACGGCAGGCTGGGGTGGGGTTGCTGCATTCCCCAACGACGTGGGCGACACGACTGCAAAAGGCCACAATGGATAATGTTGGCACAGGTGTCTTGACCATTTTGGTAGGGTATCAACGTTGAAAAAGGGCACTGCTTCACTTTAATTAAATAACCCAAAATGTTGCCCCAACGGCTGCCCGATGTGCAGTTTCGTAAAGATACCTCATTTGATGGGTTATCTTTTTATTTTTGTTTGTCCCCCCCCTCGACGGTCTTGGCCATTCCCCACTCCTTCCTGCAGCGAGCGAAACATATACAAAGGCATATACATATACGAGCGAGCGACTCCTGCGTCCAATGGCATTTGCCTTGAAAGAACATCTCGGGCCCACCACGGTGACTCAACAACGGGGCGCGCGAAGTTAGACGGGCAAGATTGGGGGGGGGGGGTGCGGGGATGAAGCGCAGTGCCGATGCAAACTTGGGGCGGGGGGGGGCCTAAAGAAGATTGCAAATAGAGCCTGGGCGCACAGTGGTGGCGTCTCTCTTCTTTCTTTATCCAAGCGCTCACGATGGCTGGGGGCCCAGCCGAAACTTCCGAGGTACTCCAGAACGCGCGCCGCCGCCAGCCGCCGAGACCCACCAGGGGAAAACTTCAGGACAAAAGAAGAGGGCGAGTGGAAGGATCTGTAACTCGGGGGCGGGAGGAGGACAGACAAGGACATGCCAGAGAGAGAAGGACAGAAAGGGCGAGGGAGGGGCGGGGGGAATAGGATCACGAAGACGAGGAGAGAGGACGCCATACACGAACACCGTCGTGCATCAACGGGCGGCAGCCAGCCGCCCTGCGGCACGCAAAACGGAGTCCTCGACGGTGGAGGATCGTGGTGTTCATTGCTCGTGGTGTCCCTTGCTCTTGCATCGTTCCTCTATTTCCCGTCGTGGTCCCATCCCCTCCCTGCCCTCGTGATCCCCTCACCTCTGTCCCCGAAGCCTTGTTTCGTACGGTTCCGCCCTCCAGGGCCAAAACCAAGCGACAAAATTAAGAAATGGTGACGCTTCGTTTTGAACCGATTTCAATATTCAAACGATCGCCCTCCTCCTCCCCCCCATCGCCGTCCACTTCGTCACGTGCTTTATCCCTCACACCGCCCCCCTTACGATGTCAGCCCCTATGGGTCCTCTTTTGACCGTCTCAAGCCTCAACTCTCACGCAGAGCTGGGGCACCTGGGGGCCTTGAAGGGGGTCTTCTTTGGCGCCTTCGCGGCGTCGGGCGAGGGCTCAGGGCCGTCGCCGCCGCTGGCGCAGACCGCCGCGGCGGCGCTGGGCGCCGAGGTCGAATCCTCGGAACCGACGACCTCCACCAACTTCGGGGGCAGGTCAGCGAAGTTGACCATGACCCTCTCCGTCACGCACTTCCGAGCATCGTTCTTGCCGATGCCAGTCAAGCAGGCATTGCACAAGACGGTGCTGCACATCAGCACCGCCGCGGACTTCTTGAGCCCCCTTGCCCGCGGCAGGTTCACGATGGCCTCGTTCAGGCGGTTGGCGGACAGGGGGTCGAGCCAGTGCAACGAGCTGCGAGCGACCCCCAAGTCCTCGAGCGCACGCTCCACGGGGCCGAAGGACATCACGAAGGACCCGACGGCCTTCATATCCTGCTCCTTCGTGGGGTCTCTGGTCGGCGACGCCAGCCACGACTGCTTGCCCTCTCCGCCGAAATCCCACGCCGATATCAAAGCCAGGAGGTTCTCACCATCGGGGCCGTACTTATTCAAGAAGGCCTGGGTGCCCCAGAGGTCGACCTTCTTCAAAATGTCTTGGAACCGCTTCCCCCATTCGCCGATGAGCACGGGCTTCCACTCCTTCAGCTCCGCCTTATCCCCAACTGGGGCAACCAAGTCAGCGTGCGACTTCAGCGCGCTCGTCGCCTGCATGCAGCCAACCAACTTCCCCTGAAGGCAGGAGGTCGCGGTGCCCTTGATCAAATTGTAGGCTCGAACTGCGGCGACGTGCAACTGGACGTCGGGAGGCAACGCGTCCTTGAGTTCGGAGGCCACCTGCAAGAACTTAGGCGTCGCCCTGAAGCAACTGTCCGAAGCAACGACGTGGCCGACCCAATCTAGACCGGCTGGCTCGAGGGTCGGCAGCACACTGCCTTGTTGAACGTCTCGGCGCGCATCGCGGGCAAGGCGTCGTCCGACGGCAACTTCGGCGCGCAACTGATCACCGACTCGTCCTGCCAGGCATCGCTCCACTGCATCAAGCTGCTTTCACAGGGCTTCATGCCGCACTGGGTCTTCACGATGTTCACCTTCACGATCACATCACACCTGCTCTTCATATCCTTGATGGTTGCCCTCGCGGGTGGCGGGATATCGAACAGCAGGATGGGCCAAGCAACTTTAGACAAAACCTTGAACGGGTCCGCATCGCCACAATCGCCTCGGCTAGAAAGACACTCCAAAGCCACGCCATGGTATACCGCCTCGAGCGAGGCCCATGGAGAAGTTGTTGTCGTACCCCAGGATGCGCGAAATTGAATCGCACAGCAAACGGACGACATTGTCCCTGAGCGCCACGTGCGCGGCGTAGTCTACGTCCTTGGTGTCGCCGTTGTCGTCGAGGCCGTCGAAGTACTTCGAGAAGGCCTCGACGCTGGCGAGGATCTCGTCATCAGCAGCCATGCCCCCGATCATCCCCCAGAGTGAAGCGATGCCGCGTTGGTTGTCAAGCCTGCAGATCGCATCTCCGAGGCCTTCAACAAATTGCCGCACCGACTTGACGACGGAGTCCTGCAGGACACAGTCGCCAGCGCACCCCGCTGACGAAGAGGTTGGCAAGCGGTCCCATGCAGCCTTTGCCCAGCAAGCGGTGCCCGCACTGACGCGCATGCACGCGCGAAGCCGAGAGCTTAGCTTGCCCTTGTTGTTCACGAGCTGCACTCCCAAAACCCAGAGGGCGCGCGGGGGCTTATCCTTCGGGTCGGTTGCATGTACCTGGGCGAAACAACGAAGGGCGTGTAGGTCGGCTAAGGCCACTGGGCACCACCCAGTTGCATCGTTGATGCCTTGGCTGCTGGTGTCGATGGCGTCCATATCGCACTCCACAAGAATGGCGCTGCAACTGCCCATGATGTCGATGAAACTCTGCATGCTGTTCTTTTTGATGACCTTGTCGGTGAACGTCTAATGTTCATCTGGACGGCAGCCGACTGATCGGAAGACCCACCGATGATTGCGACTGAGAGTGCTTTATCGTCGTCCTTCTGGTACTTCGCCACCTGCAGCCCGAGCTTCACGACGTCGGCGGACGAATGTGAGACCAGCGTCAGCATCAGTGTCGAAGAGACGTTCGCCATTGTGGCCTCGTCGATCTTCTTGAAGAAGTCGATGCCAGTCTCGCCCAGCTGAAGCACCACCGACTCAGGCGAATCCCTCAACATCGCCACGAAGTTGCGGGCATCCTCAAACTGCACCGAGAGCTGGTAGAGCTCCTCGGCCACGGCGGCCGCGCCCTCCTGGTCCAGGGACGACGTCTTCGATGCTCTTGCGCTCAGGCGGGTGAGGAGGTTCTCGAAGTCGCGGTTCCTGTACTTCCTGGACCAGAGCAACGAGTTCCCCCAGTTGGACTCGCCTTCCTCGATCAGCTGGCGCCCGCCATCGACGCTGTTGGCGTTGGTCTGCTTGTGCTTCTTGGGCTTCGCAGTCGGCGGTTCCTCCGGGCCCTCGGACGCCTTGATCTTGGAAACCATGCAGGGCGTCCTCGGTGAAGGCCCCGAGGAGCAGCCCGCGTCGCTCCGCGGGCCGCCCTTGTCATTCTGGTACCTGCGGAGCCCGTGCCCGAGCGACTGCGGCCGATTGCTGCGACAACTCAGAACGCTGCTGGCGCCATCAAGCTCCGAACCGTCTGAGATCGACACTAGGGCCCGACTTGACGCAGACGATCCTCCGGCACCAAGACCCATCTGCGCGCCGACAGGGTTGCGAGGGCGCCTCGTCGCTCGCACGATGCCGACTCCTTCGGCGTCTCCCCGATGCTGCAATCTGGCGGTCTCTTCGTCCTCGTGCATCTCCTGCGCGCCGAAGCTGGCGGACTTCTTGGCGGCGCGCTTGAAGCGGCAACTGCCCTCCAGATTTTGTTTTGGGGGGCGGTGGCGCCATGGCGCGCCAGCGGGACGCTGCGAGTCGAAGTGGGGGGCCGGAGTCCCGAGATGGGGGGTGGGGACCAGGAAGTCCCGAATACACACCTTTTCGTTCAATGGAGCCGCGAGGCCCCTCGGATTCGGATCCTCAGACGCGGCGTGCCAAGACGCCCCCGCCCCTCCGAGCCCCCTCAACAGACCTCCGGCTTCTCGACGACGAAAACCCCGTACTCGCCCGTCTCGCCCCAGCCGCGCTCGAAGCCCAGCTCCTTCTCGATGTGACCGACGAGCTCGTCCTCGTCGTCGAAGTCCAAGTTGCGCGACTCCGCGAACTCGCCGAGCTCTTCAAACACGCCCTCCTCGAATGCCTCATCGAAGCGCTCCTCGCCCTTCTTCGACGTCGCCGACGTGTTAGCCGAATGCTCGGCCTGCATCCTGTTCTCCCATGAGGCTCTGTCCTTCCTGAGGTTCTCCTGGCGCCCCTGCTCCGCTGGGTCCTTCTCCCCCCGCATCCTCAAGACATCCGCCTGCTTGGTTCCGACTGGGAAGTACTTCTGCCTGACGTAAATGCAATGGCCGCACTCGTTACCCATGGGAACCTTCTCTCCAGCTTTATTCCGTTCGCACTTCGGCCACCACAAGTAGACGCTGCCCTTGCAGTGCCTGTCGTTTTGGTGAGTGGTCTGATCGCAGCTTTTGCACAGCCTCGCGCGCGCGAGCAAGAGCTCGCGCTTCGCAACCAGCTCAGACTCAGGCTCCTCGCCCTCGGGCACCGCGGAACTCTTCTCTATTCGCCTCCTCCTGGAAGCCTGATCCCTGTCCTGCTGCTTGCCGACGCGGGCGACGCCGCGCTTGCCCATGGCGGCGGGCGCGCTGGCTGCAGCGCTGCAGCGACGAAGGAGGCTGGAGGCTGGCTGGGCTGACTGGCGAGCCCTGGCTCGCGGAAGGCCCCAAAGGCCCTGCCCGAATCCCGAGCTCAAACGGTTGCGGACATTCAAGGGCAATGCGGTGGACGGCACCTCCAGGCCAAAACCAAAGGCGACATGCCCTGGGCGAGTGAGCGGGGCAGAGCAGGGCCAACCCTGAACGCTTTCGGTTCTGCCGAAGAATGCTCAGAGCATCTCCGATACGTATTCATACTGAGAACGGACCAGCCCCGCGATGTAAACGCGGGAAGCGCCAAAGGAGGACGACAAGGGCGTGCGATTAAGCAAGCCAAGCTGGAGTCCTGAACGGCCTGCCCACTCATGGCAGAAAGACTGGCTCAAGTACGCATGTTGACGATTCCTCACGTTGGCCATGGGAACGACATTGGGGGGGGGGCACTCCGAATCACTCGAACGGGCTCGTCTGGGCCAGTCTCGGCCCCGGCCAACGCCACATCATCATGGCAGAATGGTAGCCCGTAAGAGACACAGTTGCACGTTGCCTACTGTGTGAGGCTGTCTCAAGCGAAACGACTCAGCGGCCACGCGGTGGGTAATGCCGTTGTTGGAAACACCAGGTGCTATTATGTGCGTTGGTGTGAGCATATACAAACGGTCATGCACATCCTCCGCGCGCGCCGCATAGCGCCTACAGTTGTACGCAACGAAAGCGATGTGAACTCGAAAACCCACTAGAGAAAACCCAATGTAAATCTTTGTTTATCCGATCGGGAGCGGCGGCCATCTCAAGGTGCGAATATCAAAACCGCATGCGCCAGTGCGTGCGCGGTGTTATGTGTGTAGCGCGCACGCAAGGCTATACCATGGGGACGATGTTACCCTGAAAACCCAATTTGGAAAACCCGATGTAACAGCTCATTTTCTGATCTGAAGACGCGGCCATCTGAATGTGCGACTATCACAATACGATTACGCAAGCACGCGCCGTTCCGCGTGTCGCGTGTATGCAGTTCTATACATCGTGAGCGATGTTAACTCGAAAACCCAATAGGGAAACCCAATGTAAATGTTCATTCTCTGAGCGGAAGAGGCGATCATCTGATTCCGCGTTTTTTTTTCGTTTTTTTGATAAAAAAAGGCTTACGCCAACGCAAGACGCGAAGCGCGCGCGCCGATCCGTTCCGTGGGTAGTGTGTATGCAATTCTATACCATGGGGATCGATGTTAACTCGAAAACCACATAGGGAAAACCCAATGTAAATTGTCATTCCCTGAGCGGGAGAGGCGATCATCTCAATGTCAAAACCGCGTGAACCAGCGCGCGCCGCGGCGCGCCCGCGAACCTCCGCGTGTGTAGCGTGCGCGAAGTGCTATACAACGTGACGAAATTAGCTCGAAAACCCAAAAGGGAAGTCCGCAAGTAAATCTGCATTACATGAGCGGATGACGCGGCCTTCTCAATGCGCGAGTACCAAAAACTGCTGACGCAAACGCGCGCCGCGGCGCGCGCGCGCGCCGTTCCGTTCCGTGCGCAACGCGTCTGAAATTCTATACAATGTGAGCGATGTTAGCTCGAAAGCCCATAATGGGCAAAACCCAATGTAAGTTTCCATTGCCTGAGCGGACGAGGTGGTTATCTCGTTGTGCGGTTAGCAGAACCGCTTGCACGAAACAGCATGCGCCGCGGCGCGCGCGTGCGCCGCTCCGTGCGCAACGTGTCTGCAATTCTATACAACGCGAGCGATGTTAGCTTGAAAACCCAATGGGCAAAACCCAATGTAAATATTCATTCTCTGAGCGGAAGACGCGGCCATCTCACTGAGCGATTACCAGAAACCACTGACGCCAAGGCGCGCCGCGGCGCGCGCGCGCGCCGTGGCGCGTGTCGCGTGCATGCAATTCTATACCGCGGGAGCGATGTCAACTCGAAAACCCAATGGGGAAAACCCAATGTAAATTTTCATTCGCTGAGCGGAAGAGGCGATCATCTCACTGCGCGATTTTTTTGTATAATAACAAAAAAAAACTTAGGCGCGCCGCGGCGCGCGCGCGCGTTCCCGTTTCCGTCTGCAGCGCGCGCGCAGTTTGTTCTGTTCGATACAATGTGAGCGACGTTAACTCAACAACCTAATGGAGACAACTCGCACGTAAATGCTTTTATCTTCTCATCGGGGAAGGGGTAGTCCCAATGCGCGCGACACGCAGGAGGTACATGCACCACGCACAGCGCGCGCGGCGCGAACGATGTTTTTGCATCTTGAAGCGCAGACAAGCCACCATGTTGGTTTGGGAAACGAAGTGATTCCATAGCGGTGGCCGATCGGATGTCAAAATACCATAGACCCGCTATGTATCTATATATAAACACGTTTAGCCATCATGAGTGAGGGGGGGGGGGGGGGGGGGGGGGGCTCGCGCGCGCGCCGTTCGATGGCTGGGCCAGCTGGACGTCTATGGTGGCGGTCAATTTTAACTGGGGGGCCCAGAAGCCAAAGCCGTCAGGGATCAGGTTTATGCTGCATGCCAGCATGTCGGCGTCTCTCTTGCAGAGGGTACACTGATCCATCGCACGCGCCACGCGCGCGCCATGCAAAGGCTGGGCTTCTACATATCTGCCCCATGTTAACATGAACGTTGCACGGTGGGCTCAATGTACCGCGAACAATGATCTACGCACGCGCACATGGCACGTGCTGTGGTTCTACAAGCGACCATGGAGGCTGACATGTTGGCCGCTGACCTCGACAGCTGAAGTGCGCCACCAACGACGACCGAACCGAACCAATTTCCAAATTCTAGATAACATTGGCCATCGGGGCGCACATGGAGCCCGTGGAGTCTTCCAATGCGAACGCGACCGTCGCGAAGGCTGAGCCGAAATCCAAGTGATGATGACTTAGCTTCGCGACCAGCAAGACACCTATTCTTCTGCGCGCCATCTGGCATGTGACACCTGGCATCTGGCATATGTCTGGCAAAGCTGCGCGCTCTGGCATCGGTCATATCAAAATGCGCGCGGCCTGGTGTCAAACATGGGTCACCATTGTGAAGGAAACCTGCTTATTCCGGTCTGTTCAAGTTTATACAGGCCGCAATCAGGTTTTATTCAGGCGCATTCAGGTTTTTTTAAATTTATTCAGGGTTTATTCAGGTTCAGGCAGTGTGTATTCAGGTTCATTCAGGGTTTGTTCAGGTTCATGCAGGTTTATTCAGGTTCCATTCAGGTTAACCATGACAAAACCTGATTATTCAGGTTCGTTCAGGTCATTCATGCTTATTCACGTTCATGCAGGTTTATGATGACTGGTCTGCTACAGCTTCTGCGCGCACGCGTGCGCGATCGCTGCGACGACCGCAGCGAAAATACAATGGACTGCGCAATGGCCAACGCGAGTATTGCGCAGTCCCGCCGCGGTTGTCGGGTCGGCGCAACGGTTGTTGGGTCCGCGAGACGGCGAATCGGCTGGCGAATCGCCAAACCTGGCGCGCGATGTCCCGCGGCGCAACGACGTCCGGCGCCTCCGGACACGTCGCGACGCCGACGGCGCGCCCCCGGCCCCCGCGGCGACCCCGACGGCCCCCCGACGTTGCGAACTCTGGCTCGCGGCCCGTGGCCCTGCGCAACTGCTTTCGCTCTGGGCCTGGGAAGCGCACGGGGGGGGGGGGTCGCGGCGTCGGGCGCGCCTTCCCGCGCCGTTCAGGGCGCGAGAAACCACCGATCAGGTGGCAAAAAAACACCATTCAAGTTGCAAAATGCGCTGCCCAACCCGTTTTGCCAGATCCAATGGGCCCCATCCAAAGTGGGCGGCGCGCTGCCCCAGGACGCAGCGCCACCCATTGGGGCGCGCGGTTTCGCGGCCTCTCGGGCGGCCAAGCCATCGCGAGCCCGCGGTCAGGCATGCACTCTCTTCGCGGGGCAACAATTCACGCGCTCAATTTCGCGCTGGCGCGTTTCGCGCGTTTCGCGCGAATAAGTTTGCATATCAGATACATCTGCGTTTTGTCAGTGGGAAAAAAGGCTGAACAGTACGCGGTCACGATTGGACACATCTCTGTAGAAGCTGAGCTCCGATGCTGGGGATCGCGTCCGTCACCGCC